TTCATACAGGGTGTCCCAAAAAATGTAGCGAACGTTTGATCGTTAATATCTCTCTTCCCAAAAAGTCTTTTGCCCTGCTTTGAGTACCATTTTGTAAAGCTGGCTTCAACTTAGATTTGCACTATAAAACGAATCACCCATCTCTTTTCATTACGGTAGGATTACGGTAGAAACTTGAAACATAGGGTGTCAATGTGGAAAAAGCTGCCGTTTTAAAAATTTTCAAGAAAATGTAAAAACTTGTGTAATAGGGTTTTTACGGACGCTGAGTTCAATATTCAACTATTCACAAGATTGCGAAGCTTTTTAAACGGTGTAACCGCACTTTTAGGAACATTGAAAAAATGGCCACTACCTCTTACCTGACATAACTCTTCAAGAAGCATCATAACAAGTTGGAAGCTTTACAGTCAGAATCAGCAACTCTAACTAGCCTAGTATAAAATTTTCAGGCTGTTTTGTTTCCTTTCTGAGGCAAAATATGGCCTTTCATGGTTCAAAACCCTCTTTGAAGTTTCCACCGTAATCCTACAATAATGAAGAGAGATGGGTGATGCGCTCCACACTGTAAATCTAAGCTGAAGCCAGCTCTACAAAACTGTACCTGAAGCAAGGCAAAAGACTTTTTGGAAAAAGAGTTATTAACGATCAAACAGTGTATACATACTTTACGGACACCCTGTATAAGGCTACAAACGACTCGAGGTTATGTCTTTGAACATAATTAAAAAATGCAGCAGTCACTAAATCTTAAATAATGTTTTCTTTACGTGTCCTTCAAATGAGAATCTAGTTTAACTTGGAAAACGATTTTGGTTTTCACACGCATTATAGCCGGTTTCCTGATTTCTTTCCTGCAGTTCAAAATTCTCCAGCAAGGTCTGCACATCTTTTTCAAATCATATACTTTAAATCCTAAAGTTTATTTAGTAAATTCTTCATAGTATTCAATTTCAAACTTGCTTCAATTTTTTACTCGGGTTTTAAAACTTTAGAATTTTTTTTCATAGAACGTTGACATATTTCACATGAAAAACTGAGCGGCCACTGAAAACTGCAAAAACTGCATAGAGACTGGAAAGCGAAGATAATCTCCGATTGAATCAACCCATTTACTGGTCCGTTAATGACCATTCAAAATTCGTGTTTGTTCAAATGCTTGCACATTCCAAGAGAGTTGAATCATTCAACGATTTCACCCTTCACTTGAGCTACTTAAGCGTTTATCCAATTAGTGGATAACTTGACCGGCTCCCACTGTTCGATCCTGCGAAAAGTCGCTTTGAGAAGAAACACACATAAACGAGTTAACTTATTTCAAAAGCAAAAAATCAAATAAGATTTATTATCCACTTTTCTCAAAATCAAGTATTCTATAACATTTGCTAGATTTCGAACATTTCGATACTTTATAGCCAAGGAACTACAAAATCATTCACTCCATTATGACGTTTGCCCATTTCCACACAACTTATAAAAGGAAGTTTTCTGGTGTGCATGCATCATTACTTACATCGTGCATCCCATAGACGGTAGGTGCATTTTCTAGGAACACTCATATACGTCGAATGAATCTAGCAAGATGCTAACAACATGCGTCACTGTATCAATTATATTCGCCATGTTAATGTATGAAATAACATATTCGTTGAAAGAAACTATGAACGATGACGAAGCAAGCACGGTCTCAAGCATTCGAGACTGGGGACCTGTCAGTTACGGTAAGTTACAACTTTTTCAGGAGTAATGTCAGAATACAGTGATGTTTCAGCCGGTTCGGAGCTGGAAACCATGTGAATATTCAAAGCGTCACATATATAGTTTCAGTAGCGCTGAATAAATGTCAGAGCACCTAGCTACATTTCATATGAAGAGAACGAGTGCTGTACCATGATTAAGATTGTGTCGCCGTCTCTATGCGCTAGTGCAGCGCAAAAGCTGTAGCCAAAAGCCATCGTACTATGCAATACACCATCAGTAGATGGAGATTGATCAACTTCTTGAGTATTATATTGCCACTGTGGCCGCTGTTACCGGTGTCGTTGTTACCGCTGTTACCACTCTTCGTTCCAATCGTCAATGTCGCCGGTGCGCCGCTTTGGCACGTGCAGCAACATGTTGACATCAATGCCAGAAAAGGCTTGCCAATATGTTGTTTTGTGTCGCAAACATGTTGTTTCATGTTGCCAACATGTCAGACATGCCTGCCGCAGGTCAGAGACGCATGAGGGTAACAGCAACTCTGGAAGAGACGATACAGTGCAAGCACACGATATTGACCCATTGACAACGACGATTTGGGCCACCGGTGGCTCACGTCGTCATATTCTTTGTAGATCTAGTATCTTTTCCACATAGTGATATTTTTTAGAATTTTTTGCACTCTTGGGACGTGTAGGCTCCGCCGTTCAGGAAAAATGTTCATAGATGTTTACAAGGGTTAAGCAGAAGATCTACTCGACTGTAAGGCCTCGGGCATACTTCGCGGATTGCAAAAAATCGACACTGTTGGCTAATTGATAAATGCTACTAATCCCCTGCTTTCACCTCTCGAATACACAAGCGCATATTTTCCATGAGTTGATGCGAGCATGACAAGTCTTGCTTATCAAGAATGCGCTCACGAACAGTGATGAGCCATTGCAGCAATGCCGAATGGCGCGGCTACCGAGATCGCGCGAGGTATGACCGGCCTAAATTTAAACCCTCGATACGCAACAGAGCACACGATAGGCCTGCAGAACTAATCATGATCATGACTTATAATAAGCGGCTAGGGATGTTTACGTCTTTTTGTCTGTGTTTGTGTGTCTGTCCGTTACGAAATCCATAGAGCGTGTTCTAGCCAACGTACTGAGCCCAAATTTTGCATAGCGCACGCTACCAGCACGAAAGCTCACTATGCAAAAGCATGAGTGGATCCGTTGAGTGGATCCGTTGAAAATTGCGGTCAAACGGATCCACTTGGTTTCTGGTCAGCAAATTGGAGTCCGTAGTACTACAAGACTTCGACAAGTTAATGTGCAAGCCATGGACGTTAGCCTAAAAAAGTGAAAGGCTACTAATTTACGAAAACAGCGCCAAAAAGCATTGGCTGTGTAAACGGTCAATTTTTCAAGATTTTACCTGATCATTTATGAAGATTTTTGTAGAGAGATGTAGCCCACGATGTTTTTTGTTCTTATGGCGACTACGAAGCCATAAAAATTCCAGAAACCTATTCAAATTTGCATATTTTCTTCTGGGAAAGATTTCATCCACGCGAAAATACCGATCTTACACAAAAAACCATTAGGAATGAGTAGTTGTTTACGAATCATTCGTAATAGCCTACACAGCGCGGTGAGTTTCAATGTAATTATTATGCAGGAGTAAGGCATAGTTAGAGTAGGGCCAGTGCGAGCCTCTGCGAAGCAGAAGTGACGCACTGGTTTTATAATAATGGGCTAAGGGTTGTTTACGTCTGTTTGTCTGTGTGAATATCTGTCTGTCACGAAATTCATAAGACAGGTTGCAGTTGAGCTTTTACGCTACAATTTTGGTCATGACCACCAATCGGCGTGTAGGTAAACTGTGCAAAAGCACAAGCCGATCCAGAAAGTGGAACCATTGAAAACTGCGTTAAACGGGTCCACGCAACTTTTGGTTTGCCAAAATGGGTCGGTAAATTGGACTTTTCGCAAAGTCGTGGGTATAATCAACACGTAAATCCTTAAAATATTGACTTCAGCCCTAAGTGTAAGCAAATGTAAGCCTACTATTACACAAAATCGGCGCCAAAAAGGTGTGACTGCGCAAATTGTCAATTCGCCAAGCTTTCACTTCAAAAATTGGAAGGATTTTTGAATAGAGATGTAGCCCAAGGTGGACTCTATCCTTACGGCGACTATAAAGCCAAAACAATCTCAGTAAAACATTCAAAACATTTGTTCTTCTGCGGGAAATTTTTTCTCCCAGAATTACCGATCTTACATGGAAAAGCTGTAAAAATGGACGATTGTTTACAATACACTCGTGATGATTGGCATCGCGCGATAAGTTTCAAACTCATTATTATGCGATCACGATGAAGGCATACGGATAGTAGAGCCAGTGCGAGCCTTTGCGAAGCAGAGGTGACGCACTGGTGATGTATAACCTTCACCAAGAACACGCAAGGAAATTGTATGCGCTCTCGCGTGATCTACTTTTCCAAAAGAGTGGGCAGGGTGGAGTACAAAAGAGAAAAAAAGTGCTGCTTTTGCCAACATTACCTGGACGAGTTGCATGAGGCAATACTCTCAACACCATCAAAACTTACCTAATGCTGCATTCTAGAGAATCGAGTTTACGCAAAGCAGTAACATACGCAGAAAAGATGAGCGACAAAACACATTATGTTTAGGTTTTATTCTATCAATCATGTTGCCATAATATTTAGTTTTCGCCATCAGATTTCAAGATGTTTTACGCAGAATCTATCCATGCTTTATTGTTATTATCTAACGTTTTATCTGCCTTATTTTGATATCAGAAGATGCTAGCGTCATTGTTTCGCAAGCGCTAAAACTAGTGTTGAATTATTAAACGCATTTTGCAAGGGTGGTTCGCGCAGGCTGCTCAAATAAATACCCATGAAAGTCGAAGTTTCAGAACAAATCTACTTTGTTGGACAGTGTTCATTTATATACATATACAGGGTCTCCCAGAATTAAGTACACACTTTTCAAACGTTAATGTCTCTCTTCCCAATGGGTCTTTTTTTGCCGGCCACATACCATTCTGTAGAGGAAACCTCAACTTAGATTTACAATATCGATCGGATTACCGACCGCTCTTCGCTACTGTAGGATTACGGTAAGAACTTCCAGCATGTGAAACCATTATGAAATAAGCCATCTAACTAAATTTTTTTTAAAAAATCTGAAAAATTATGTACTAGGGTTTCCGCACCTGCTAATTCTACTGCACAACTTTTTACGAGTGTTTTCAGTTTTTTTGACTGTAATTACATTTCTGACAATTACCGAGAATTAGGTACTACGATTTACCTGAAATAACTATGGAAAGAAGCATCACAGTAAAGTGAAATTTCATATTCGAAATCAGCTGCTTCCATTACCTTAGTACAAGAGTTTTTGGCTTGTTTGCTTTCCTTCCAAGGCAGAATATGGCTTCCAATGGCCTAAAATTCTTGTGGAAGTTCCTACAGTAAACCAACAATAAGGAGGAGCGATCGGTGACATCCTCAATACTGTGAATCTAAGTTGAAGCCTCCTCTACAGGTTGGTACGTAAATGGCGGAAAAAGACCCATCGGGAAGACAGATATTGACGATTGAAAAGTGTGTACTTACTTTTGGGACACCCTGTACATAACTCAAAGTGTTTATCTGTTAATAAGTATGTTTTTTATACAATTTTTTAAGTAGACCAAATAAGCTGAAACTTTGCACACTTATGTTCTTGACCCCGGCAGTTGTTATAGGCTATTTTTTGCGGCAATTCACTCGGCCCCTCTATCGATTTATTGATTTATTTACTCATCCGGAAAATCAAAGCTTATTAATCATTTCTCTAAGTCAGTAAGCGGCAGTAAGCGGCGGTAGAGTTCATTTACAATTTTTTCGGTGAGGAGGATGCGGTGTTACGAAACGTGACGGTCAAGAAGGAGGGGAATTTGACCATGGATACCATAGAAGCGCTGCAATCAAACCCAGAGCTGAAGGAAGAGGAATAGAAATTGCAAACTGAAGGAAATTTAAAAAGTGAGCCATAAGACCTTGAAACAGACACTACGCCTGGCCATTTTGACCCTCGTCCCAGTGGGACCGGGAAGTGAGCTAGTAGTCACATATTACTGGTTAATCTCAATGCACCTACTTACCATCAGAGGATCATCCACTTTCCTCTTTCTAACGATAACCTCTTTATTCACAAAGTCCACAGCTGAGCTCTAGCATCTATCGCAAGGCCTAAGCCAAAGCCAATGCGTTAGAGGCAGCGTTCCCGTGATATCTCGCTGTTCTAGTTCAGATTTTCACCTATTCGGAACCTTCTCGCTACGAGAAATCCATATTTGGACTTTTCAATGATAAAAATGGCAAAATGAACCTTTTCGGAGCTTTCCAGGTCCGCATTCAGTGAAAATACGCTGCAAGTGTTCCACGACGCGCTTCTTTCGCTTCGGATCCGCTCCCTAACGCGTATTTTCCACTGCATGCGGAACGAAAGTTTCGAAAAAAGCACATTTTTGCCATTCTCTGCGCTGAAAACCCTAGTATGAGTTCTCCATAGCGAGAAGTCTCCGAAAAGGTGACAAAGTGAAAGATTTTGCCGAGACACTCCCTTCTGCCATTGCTTGGTATGTGAGAGGAGTGCGGGAGTGAGACTCACTTCGTTTTTCTTTTTCTCTTCCCAGGGCAACAAAGTTGTTTTACAAGAACGACATAGTAGAGACAGGGCCCGGCACAGATCTTCTGGAAGCAGGCTAGACTTCGTTTTTGAAGTAAACAACAAAGGGGATATCGTTTTTGACGAGTCGGAACCGAGCACCAAGAATAGGCGCCATTTAGTCGAACACAAGCTTTTCGGACTGGTTATCACGAGATTGACATGCTCTATCATGCATGGCCAAAAATGCGCGCGATTTGAAAGTAAAGCTCAAATAAACAAATTGCTTGTTTACAGCGCACACAGAAGCATATGACACCAAAGTTGAACTGTATGTATAGAAAATTATTTGCGAAAGTATTATGCAAAAAGATTTGAAAACTTATGTGAAATGATACCTTTTCCAAAATTAGATCGTCTCCAGACGGCCACCAGACGATCTGAGATCGTCTGGAGCATATATTTTCGTCACTT